TTTATCTAATTTATAAAAATACCCTTTAATAATCAGTGACATCAAAATAATAATGTAAAGGTTAAATTCACTTGCTCTTGGAAATATTAAGGCTTTTTGTGAGTATTTAAAATATTAATCCTCTTTTCTTATAATTTTTTTGAGTACTTTACATTTTCAATTAATTTATATTTATCATTGGGTCTTCCTTTTTGTACTCATCTTCGTTTTCCACTTTCAGTTTGTCTGTTTGCTGGATTGTCTTTGTTTACTTCTTCAATTTTTGTCAAGTAATATTCAACGCGATGCTTTGAAGAGTATTATTTTTATTTATTTTTATTATTATTTGTATATATGTATTTAACGCCCTTCGTCGAACTAAGTTACTTACAATTACAATTACTTGTTCAGTTATGTTTAATGTTTGTGCGAATTGTTGCCTAACAACCGAAACTTTAAATTACCAGTTCATTAAAAATTATTTTACGCAAATAGAATAACCTCATAGTATAGGCTTACACAATTTTTAATGAAATTCCACGATATTGAGTCATTCAAATCAGTTTATTATACATTTATTGTCCTGAGGAGTATTCTATAATAATATAGAAAATATCTAAGAAGCTTTTACAATTAGACGATTGAAACAAGTCCTTATTTATTAATAAATTTACACATAAAACAACAAATTCCACGAATATCTCGTTAGAGACATTAGAGCATAGAAATATGTAACTATTTAATTGATACAAAATTTTAAACCTTTTTGCTTACAATTATGGAAGATAACCATAGACTAACCAAAAATGTAAATGAATAATAAACTAACACGAAGTACGTACTATTGCAAAATTAGATTTTTCATCCTTTAATCTTTGAAACGCCTCATTATTTTACGATATATTTGTTGATTAGGTTATGGTTGGAAGAGAGATACATTTTCTATTTCAGTGTTTTCTTCTACAATTTTTGTTTCATTTATTTCTGCTTCTGTGTTTTCTTCTACAGTTTTTGTTTCTGTGTTATTCTCAACAACGTCTGTTTCTGTATTACCCTCTACAATTTCTTTCTTATGTATTTCTGATTCTGTTTTCTTTTACGATTTCCATTTCTGCATTTTCTTTTACAGTCTCCATTTCTGTGTCCTTTTCTACAATTTTTATTTGTATGTCATCTTCTACAACTACAATTCCTGTGTTTTCTTCAACAATATTCGATAAAGAGAACGAAAGGATTTTAAAGGGTGGAAAAGGGAAACAAGAAAGAAAGGGAATGGTAGATAGGGAAAGTGTCGCGTTGTAGGTCCCAAGGTTTTCAGAAAAAGGCTCGTTCTCTGGTTCCATTGTCGCCTCCCGAAAGTGGTCGACGTTCCACGATGAGAGAGCTCGTTTGGAGAGGCTTGGATGGCCCAGATTGTAGTCTATAATCGGACCAGTATAGAGACACGGTTTATTGCCTTTCGATTTTTAGCTGGTCGACTACGTAAACCGGAGCCCCGCGAAACTCTGACATATTCGATCATATGAGAGTGAACGTCACTTAAATGACGTCCTCTTTTAGACCACCGTTCATGGCACGTGAGCCACGTACACGTGTCTTCCTCGGAGTGGAACGCATTTTCCCTGCAACTCGTTTGCATTCCAACGATAAATACGTTCTTCCCATAGCGGTTACGTTTCACGCAATTCGGTACGCTTCATCAATATTTACTTTCTCAAATGTTGTTACTATCCTCGAAGGTGTTGTACATTTTTCGATAAAGTTAAGGTCGAAACGTAAACGCTTTACCTAGTCGAACGGTATGTGATCCTGCAGCATCATTCATTATTTATTTATTCGGAACGATTGTTCCTTCCTCCAGATTACTTTTCTCCCGTAACCATGATAAGTTTTTAGTTACATTCGTTAGCAGATTGTTGGGGTCATTCTTGTACAGTGAGTGTAGTTAGTATTCGTACACTGGTCAAATAAAAGAAAAACTACGTTCAATTGTAATTTATTAACATCTTTTTGATAAACAATGACATTCTACATATTCTTGGAAATCTCTACAATAGATGTAGTAAAAAAAAATTTAGTTATTTATATAAGTTGCAAAATTAACAAGAAAAAATAATAAATCGATAGAAATACAGAAGCAATAAGTATTCGAACAAATGTTAAATTTTCAAAACTTCATTAAAAAAAAAACATGAAATTTACATTAATTTACGTTAATTTATAAATAATTAATACTTCGTGGGATTTCATTTTCATTTTATAATCGCTGCAACTCTTCTAGGCATTAGGTAAATTAACTAAATTCTTCCATGTTTCTAATTCGTACGAAGCTATAAATTGATGTGTTTATGTTACAAATTCTACTGTAAATGGTTCGTTATAAAAACCGTACGAATATTTATTGCTTCTATATTTCTGTCAATTTTTCGTATTTTCTTGTTAATTTCGCAAATTATATAAACTAATAACTGTTGTTTGGACTATATCTGTTTTAGAGATTTCCGAGAACATGTAGAATATCATTGATTATAAAAAATGAAATTAATAAATTACAATTTCACAAAAGTTTTTTAGGAACTTGATCGGCGTACGAATATATTCTACACCCACTGTATGTCTTCAATCGTAATACATTTTTTACTATTAAACGTTTATTTTCTACATATTTAAGTATTTTTTTTTAGCACATGACTCGTAACATTTGATAATTTGTACTTCTAAACAACCACTTTTTTTGCATTGCAATCTTTTTTTAATTTTAGACTAACTATTGTACTTGAGAGGGCTCAACATGCTGAAATGTTAACCATTTTATCGTTATTTAAACTGTCGAAGAATAGAGCCATAGTCTATGTTTAGAAATTTTTCGACTGTAGGTTTTTTCTTATTCAATGGCATTACTTGTTGCAGATGTTAAAACAAAAAGAGAAAATGTAGAATTATGTCGAAGCGAGGTTCAGCGAATAAGATTAATAACTACCACTCGATACAATTTTTGATTAATTAGTTATTTTCAGCTTCGCATTCGGATTAGATAAATTCTCAGAAATGTAAACGTGTATGGAGAAACTACCCGAAAGGATTTTGTTACAAACGTATATGTTTGGCAAGCGACTAGGTGCAATTAAGCAATAATAATTTGGGGATCGAAAGGTGGCACAGCACGTCTCCGCGAACATAGCTGGACAGTGCGGGCTTTGGCACCGAAAATAAAGCGGCTGTAGCATTCATGGCCAGCAGGAATATTATCGAACGTCAGCGTCCTCCGAGACTCTAGTTTCTAGCGGCGCTAGGTTCGAAGTTACAATTAATTTTTTCTAAAATGTCCACTTTTTAAAAGAAAAAAGTCGTGTCGTAAAATGTACATTGAGTAGGAATAACAAATTAAAATGGCTCTTTTCGACCATTTATAAAGTGTTGAAGTTCAGTTTCGATTCCCATCAGTGGCCGGTCATGCTTGTTGTCTTTTAGTTTCTTGCAATGTTTTTACACGAAGACAAATCTCCGTCTAACAGTAGCGACGTTAACAAATGTTAGGTGACTATTTCCTGGGAATTGCATGAAAGTGAATGCGAATGAATAAGCCGTGTTTACGCGAATGGGCGTGCAGCTGACGGCTCGTAGATCAGATTAGGCCTCTCGCTCGCCAACTGATCGGAAAGATCTGAGGAGCTACGAAATGAAGGCTTGCGTCGAAAGTGGCAGATCTGCCGTACGAATTAACACGCTAATTAATTTTGTTCGTAGTAAAACTTCCTATTCACTAGCGTTGAATAATTAGCAAAGATGAAGTCAAAAGAGGGCAAAATTTTATTCGAACGATAGACGGATATTCATTTGATTGAACAGTTGATTTCTTATTTGGTCATTGTGCAACCATAATACATCATTCTAAAACTCAAACTTCAATTTTCACTTTACGAGTTACGCGTAGTAAGTTGTTTATCTTTCATTTATTATTAACACATTTTTATTTGGATGAGAATTTCGTCCATCTTTGATTGAAATACTTCGTGTAAAAACTCACGGTTTACCTTATCATAGAGAGATGAAACTTGTTATAATTTGACAGACATATTACTAATCAGTAAATCGGCGAATTTATTATTATTAAGGTTTTTGACCATCGATGGTTTTTTTCAAGTATTGAACAACGAAAGACAACTGAATTCAAGTGACAAGAATAATATTGTTATAATAATATACAGATAAAAGTGAAACAAAAAACTTGGGAGTACGAAGAAAACGACGTACACATAAAATTAAGATTTGAATAATTTAAAATCTCTCTTGTGAATCAACCAGACGGTTATTATTAAACTATAGTTAGTGTTCGAATGATTAGACGACAGTAAGTCAATTATTTCATACAATTAAGGGTAAATAAGCTCAACTGATACATTCACTTTGTACTACTTTTGCATTTAAGGAGACCGATTCCTGCGAAACCACTTTTAAGAGAAGTATATTCAAGAAATGTTTATACAAAAACTGTGCGACCAATTGTTTTGAAACTTTCTTTATGTTTTATTGAGTACATAAACAAACAAAAACCTGTCTCAAAATGCCATTTAGTATGGTATGTAATATTTTATTTTAAATACAGGCATCTTGGGACACCCTGTATATATTTGAAAAATGGAAAAGGAATCGATCTCTAAAAAATATTAGTGTGGTTCGTCTCCTTAAAGAAATATAAATAGAAGAGATGAACGCATTTCTGCACACTATATCGTTCTTATCAGTTTTATTTAAGGAGAAGTCGAGTTTTTCTAACTTTCTAGCTGAATTTACCAAAGTCTCCAGGTCAAGTTTAATTTTCACGGATCAAACACGATATCGTATTCTGTATCTTAAAATGCGTGAGATGGAGTCACAAGCAGTCTTGGTTCCCTCGTGAACTTTCAGTTTATTTTCGCCGAAATATATACGCAATCGGCGTATATTTTTATATGTATAATGACGTAAGAAGTAGTCTGCTCGTGGAACATCCCCAGGAATTCTTTCGGTCTGCATTTCAGATTCGTCAGGTGGCCTGGTATTTGGCATACCGCTCTCGCAGTGTTTGGAGAACGACAGGATCGCCCGAATTGCTGCTGGCGAGATCGTCGACGTCGGTTGCCTGTCGAGGAGCAGCAGACACGGCAGCAGGACGAGTTTCACGAGCCTAATCGAACCGACTGTCGCAGCAAAGACCGACGATGTAAGTAGATCGATTCATCCTTATGTCAGACTACTAGTTGAAAGGAATAATCACGCGATGATACCAACAGTAGGTGTATCTTAGATACAAAACCGTGTTAGTTAATAAGGTTGCTTTCATAGGGAAATTGTCGGCTATTAAAAATCCACTTTCATTAAACTTGTTTATAAAATAGAAAAATTGACGCCGAAATGTTCTAAATATTCGTTTCTAACTCCATATATTCCTTCATTACATTAATAACACTAGTTTACAGCCGAAATGTTCTAAATATTCGTTTCTAACTCCATATATTCCTACATTACATTAATAACACTAGTTTACAGCCAAAATGTACATTTAATGCCACAATTTTTCCCTTTTGTATATTGGCCCACTAAACTCGAAAATCGCAAGAAAAAAATTCTTCTATGGATAGGTTTTATTTATATGAATTTTTGAATTTTTGTTCGATTTTTTTCTGACATACGTTCACGTTTTAGGCCATCTTGAGTTAAAAACGTCCGATTGAGTCGCACAAGACGCCATTTTAAAGATAACCGAATTTCCAACAATTGCTTTTCACATTATTTTCCAGTCGGTTCAATAGTTTAAGTGTTAGCCAAGTGTGAGCCAATATATATGAGAAACTTTGATTCTTTCGGCTAAAATCAAACACGAATATTTTTTCCATCGCTATGCAAAAATAGAAATTGTCAAATTATGTCCCGTGTCTTATTGTTTACGTATAGATCGCACTTTTACGAAGAAAACAAGCTTTTGTTGAAGAAAATCTGTGGATAAATACTGGAATTAGGAACAATTGAGTAAAAGTACAAAAATTCCAATTTTACTCTGTTTTTGTTTTTTTTCCCTATTTGTATAGGAAACATTTATTTAATTAATTTCGATTAAAAATAATTTCGGCCTTTGTTTTGTCTTTTGTTATTCGTTGTGTTCGTTTCTCTGATGAGGAACCAAATGTAGTCTCCCAACATTCTTTCATCCCAATACATTTGATAGCGCTGCCGAAAGAATCAAAGTTTCTCATATATATTGGCTCGTAACACTTAAACTATTGAACCGACTGGAAAATAATGTGAAAAGCAATTGTTGGAAATTCGGTTATCTTTAAAATGGCGTCTTGTGCGACTCAATCGGACGTTTTTAACTCAAGATGGCCTAAAACGTGAACGTATGTCAGAAAAAAATCGAACAAAAATTCAAAAATTCATATAAATAAAACCTATCCATAGAAGAATTTTTTTCTTGCGATTTTCGAGTTTAGTGGGCCAAAATGCATAAGAAAAAAATTGTGGCATTGAATACATTTTTTCTTTTTATTTTGTAAACTAGTGTAATACACGTGGCACTGTAACGATCTTGTGCGTTCTGCGCACATCTACTGTTTTCTTTCTACGCTTCAACTTCGCTTAACTTACAGATTAACCCTCGGCACTCGAGGTCTTTTTTCTGGTATCTGTCAGCGACTCGAGATGCTTTCTTAGCATTCTATTGTCACGAATGGTAAGCTTAGATTATCTTCGAAAATGAGATCCTTAATTTGAGATTTGCGAATCAGGTTACCTTTGCCTCAACGACAATCATTTTATTGACACTTCGAGTTCCAAAGAAAGTAAACCTAAAGAAAACCTAGTGGTGACTGAGAGTCACCTCTCGAGTGCAAAGGGTTAACATATACAGGGTATCTCAGAATTCCTGTAAGAACCGGAAATGGAGGATAGCTGACACGATTCTGAACAACAATTTCTTTTGGAAAAGTATGCGTTATATCTACTGACTACACACTCGAACTTAAGTGTCTGTATTACAATAAATGATCTCGTATTTAAGTCGATGAGTTGGTTTCAACAAGTGTTATCCTGCTATGCATAAAGATGTATAAAGTTCCATTAAAAAAAAAATTAATTTGTTTTCTAAATCTCCCTCACTACTTTACTTACAAAAAATTACCTGATATAGTGTTCCCTTTGAACAAAATCTGCTTTAAATGAAACTCTTAGTATATATAGAAGCAATATTGTATACGAAAACAATAATATCAAATTCACAAAAAGAATAATTTTCTTTCTGGTTAGTGATCTTAGTATTATTGATAATAGCAGAGAATCAAAAGGTAAAGGCTCTGACGAACGACTAAAGTCAATGTCAATTCGAGACAGAAATGGAACTTACAAAACCTTATAATAGTTACCATAATATGTGTTCAGGATAAAGTAGGTTGATGCGTGATTTTACAAACTCTTCGTTTATCGGTATATAAAATTTTATTTTGAAATAAATGAAATTTAAGGAAAAAATTGCATAATAATGCATTATTTATGCGGTTTTCAAATCCGTAAGAAAAAAATCTTGCGCTCGCTCAGTTTAATGCAAAAAAATTTATTTAAATCGGTTGAAGGTGGGCTGAGTAGGCTGCCAGTAAACCCCCCACATATTAATGATAAACAATATTGACAGAAAAACATGCAGGATTTATGCGCTAATTATGGAATGACTCTAATGGTTCTTTGTAACGTTCTGGTTCACGCCAATAGCGACTATATCGAACAATTTCGAATAATGCGTTAGATGACGCAACTCTTGGATGTATAGCAGGTAAACGGCAGAGATTCGGGCGAAAACGGTCCACGTGGCGCACTTTTTCGTGAGTCTGGTAACAAAGTGGCAGACGCGGGTTTATTTTGGCAGCTAGACTATCGTCTTTTAGAAGCTGATCTTGCTGGGGAATTACGTGCAATAAAAGTAGATCTCCGCCGACTGGCTATTTACAATTCGAAATTTTATTCGGCTTTCACGACGACGACTTGTGAAGATGAGAAGACGAAGAGAGATCGCCCACACGGAGCAGGCATGAAAATTCAAGTCACCTGCTTTACATTGACGTTAACTAATCTGCGCGCGAAACGCTCTCGACTTGTCCGATAGAGATTCTAGTGTCTCCCGGTTGAAACACATGGTCACGGCTAGAATAGATACATTACACGAATAGCTGCCATCTCTTCTTCTCTCTTTTTTCTTTTTTTTTAGAGGAGGTATGCCAAGCTTTGGTTGCCTGTTGGGATCCGTGAATACACAACTGAGAAAAGAAATTTCAAATAAAAATTATCATGTATAATCCATGGTATATAATCCAAGCGTTCTAACACATAACTCTTAAATGTATGAAGAATTTTTTTTTTTTTTTTTTTTTAAGTAGTTCTTTATTAAATGTTCCTAACTGTATTCTCACAATTACTTACATTTGTTTTATCAAGTATATTTATAGAAAGCGTGTGGATTTCGACTCTCTAGCCGATAATCACTAAAGTAGGTTGCTATTGTTAACATTAGTGTAAAAAGAAAAAGATAAAAGCAAAAAGAAAATAATAGAATAAAAAAGATAGAGAATAGAGTAAATAGGAGAAAAAGTAGAGGAAAAAGTAATTGAAGTGCAAGTACACTAGTATTTATCTATTAGTTAGTTGTTTGGCGTAAGCAGATCCACTGGGTGTTTCCTTTTCAGTCTTCTAGGCAGGCTTGAATAGCAATTGTTGGCAAGTTGGTTTTTGTGAGCAATTATTCTTTGCTGGTGAGCTTTAGAGTATTTCCCTATTTCTTCCTCCACAGTAGTGATTTTTAGTGATTTCCTTATGTCGTCATTCCTTACATACCATGGTGCATTTATGGTACTTCTTAGGATGATTGACTGCATATTTTCTATTTTTTTCCTGTGGGACTTGGCGGCTATGCCCCAGATTTGTATTCCGTATATCCATATGAGTTTGATAATTGATTTATAAATTTGTAATTTACCAAGTGTATTCAACTTGGAGTTTTTGTTTATAAGTCAGTTCATAGATTTTTTAATAACCCTTGTGTGTTTGATTTTTTCTTGAACATGCACCTTCCAGTTTAACTTTCTGTCTAAGTGCAGACCAAGGTATTTGACTACGTTAGTTTGAGGTATTTCCATGTTATGGATGTGGATTTTAGGAGATAGTTTTTTTTATTAAGAGTGAATGTGATGTGTGAGCATTTTGATGAATTGATTGTAATTTTGTTGTTTACAGTCCAGGCTTCGATTTGTTTTAGATGGATTTGTAGATTTGATATTGCAGTTTCTATATTTTTGTGTATGGATAAAATAGCAGTGTCGTCAGCGAATGTAAATAATTGTGTATGTAGAGAGGTTGGCATATCTGTCGCGTATAAGGAATATATGTAATATGGGTCCCAGCACACTTACCTGTGGCACGCCGGCATGAATTTCCTTTAGGGAGGATATTACACTTTTGAGCCGAACATAGAAATATTTATCTGAGAGATATGAAGCGATAGTTAAAAATAGGTTATAAGGTAGCATTGCTCTTAGTTTAGTTAGAAGCCCCTCGTGCCAGACTTTATCGAAAGCTTTTTCCACATCTAGGAAAGCTGCTGTACAATATTTGCCTTCCTCAATAGAACCAATTATGCTATTAGCCATTCTGTGAATTTGTTCGATTGTATTGTGGTTTCTCCTAAAAACAAATTGGTAGTCCGGAATCAATTTTTTATCGTCAATTATTTTCATTATTCTATTGTGAATAGTTTTTTCTATCACTTTGGAGATTATCGGAAGGAGTGATATGGTTCTATAGGAGGATGGCATTTTTGAATCCTTACCAGGTTTTTGCAGTGGTATAATTTCTGCGCATTTCCAGATTTGTGGGAAATATCCCAGTCTAACGATGGCGTTGGTCAAGATTTTTATATATCTTAGTGCTTTACCTGGCAGTTCCTTTAGCATTTTGGCTGTCATGAAATCATATCCTGGAGTTTTGTTGTTATTTAGAGCCTTAATTATCGCAATAATTTCTGATTTTTCAACTCTTTTAAAACTAATGTAACTGTTGTCTGTACTAAATCGAGGATTAGATGTATTTGCATTCTTGAATGTTTCCTTGTAATGTTCTGCTAGAGTCTCTGTTTGATCTTCGACAGTTATGGTCCAATTCCCATCCTGCTTTTGTATCAGTGGA